CACGTATACCACGTGCTCCCCCACCCCGCCTCACAGTGCACTCTCTCAGTCTCTCTTCTGCCTGTCCAGTGTCCACAGTCAAGCATCACGGTTTCCCTGTTCCTCCTAAGCAGACACAGCTCTGCTTCCCCTGGGCTCGCAGGTACCTTGTCCATCTTCCACTACAGCCCTAATCACACTGCGTTATAAGTATCTATTTACTCAGCTCTTTCTTCCCTTAGATGGTGATGTCCCTGAGAGCTGAAACTGTGTCTTTTACACAGGGTGTGAACACAGAGCAGGCACTCAGTAACTAGGTGAATGAATGAATAGCTGTGTGAACCTTCATTGCTAAGAGCAGTAGGGGCGGAATGGTTTCTTGCTGGGAAGCTGTTTCCTGATATATGCCTGACAGGGGCATGAAGGGACAGTTTATGGGTGATTAGAGTGACTTGCCTGCCTGTACCAGTTAGAGCTAGGTTCAGCTATGAGTGTCAGAATAACATAACAGTTGCTCAAGTAAGACAGACATTTGTTTCTCTTTCATATAAAAGAAGTCTATAGATAAGTAGTCCAGGGCTGATAGGGTGGCTCCCCAATCACCATAGACAAGGCTACTGCTTTGTTGTTCCATCATCCACCACACGTGGCTTCTACCTCATGGTCCAAGATGGCTGCCTGAGCTCCAGACATCACTAACGCATTCTAGCCAGGAGAAAGGTCTGACAGAGGACACCCTCCCTTCTATTTTTTCTTTTCTTTAAAAAAATATACTTTATTTTTTAGAGCAGTTTTAGGTTCACAGCAAAACTGAGTGGAAAGTACAGAGTTCTCATATATTCCCTCACCCCACACACGCACAGCCTCCCTCACTATCACCATCCCACACCAGAGTGGTTCATTTGTTATAATCAGTGAAACTACATTGACCTATCTTTATCACTGAAAGTCCATAGTTTACGTTAGGGTTCACTCTATGAATGTACAGTGACAGGTATCCACTATCATAGTATCATACAGAATAGTTTCACTGCCCTAAAAATCCTCTGGGCTCTACCTGGTCATCCCTCCCTCCCCCCAACCCCTGGCAACCACTGATCTTTTTACTGTTTCCATAGTATTGGCTATTCCAGAATGTCGTATAGTTGGAATCACAGAGTACGTAGCCTTTCAGATCAGCTTCTTTCACTTAGTAATATGCCTTTAAGGTTCCTCCATGTCTTTTGTGGCTTGATAGCTCATTTCTTTTTAGCACTAAATAATATTGCATTGTCTTCCAAGTTTTGGCAGTTATGAATAAAGCTGCTATAAACATCCATGTGCAAGTTTTTTGTGGAAATAAAAAAGTTTTTCAGGGGCCGGCCTGGTGGTGTAGTGGTTAAGTGCATGCACTCCGCTGCGGCGGCCGGGGGTTCGCCGGTTCGGATCCCCGGCATGCACCGCTTGTCAGGCCATGCTGTGGCGGCATCCCATATAAAGTAGAGGAAGATGGGCATGGATGTTAGCCCAGGGCCAGTCTTCCTCAGCAAAAAAAAGAGGAGGATTGGCAGATGTTAGCTCAGGGCCGCTCTTCCTCACAAAAAAAAATATATATGTATATAAAAAAGAAAAGTTTTTCAGCTCATTTGGGTAAATTCCAAGGAGCACAACTGGTGGATCATATGGTAAGCATATGCTTAGTTTTGTAAGAAACCGCCAAACTGTCTTCCAAAGTGGCCGTACCATTTTGTACTCATACACTAGCAATGTATGAGAGTTCCTGTTGCTCCACATCCTTATCAGTATTTGGTGGTGTCAGTGTTTTGGATTTTGGCCATTCTAATAGGTATGTAGTCCCTCTCTTCCTTTTAAGAATACTTTCTGGGGGCCGGCCCCGTGGTGCAGCAGTTAAGTTCGCGCTCTCTGCTTCGGCAGCCGTGGGTTCACTGGTTCGGATCCCGGGCGCGGACCCACACACCGCTCATCAAGCCGTGCTGAGGCAGCATCCCACATAGAACAACTAGAAGGATGTACAACTATGACATATAACTATCTACTGGGGCTTTGGGGAGAAAAAAGGAAAAAAGGAGGAAGATTGGCAACAGATGTTAGCTCAGGGCCAATCTTCCTCAAAAAAAAAAAAAAGAATATTTTCTGGAAGCTAAGAAAGGAAATGTCCATTATGTCCCATTGGTCAGAACTTAGTCACATGACCACATTTACCTACAATGTAGGCTGGGAAATGTAGTCTCTATTCTGAGTGGCCAAGTGACCATCTGAAAAGTCAGGGTTCTTATTGCCAAGAAAGAAGCGAGAATGGAGGGCCGGCCCCGTGGCTTAGCGGTTAAGTGCGCGCGCTCCGCTGCTGGCGGCCTGGGTTCGGATCCTGGGCGCGCACCGATGCACTGCTTCTCCGGCCATGCTGAGGCCGCGTCCCACATACAGCAACTAGAAGGATGTGCAACTGTGACATACAACTATCTACTGGGGCTTTGGGGGTAAAAAAAGGAGGAGGATTGGCAATAGATGTTAGCTCAGAGCCGGTCTTCCTCAGCAAAAAGAGGAGGATTGGCATGGATGTTAGCTCAGGGCTGATCTTCCTCAAAAAAAAAAAAGAGAATGGACATTGGGAGCCGACCAGCATCTCTGCCAGACTGCAGGGAAGAGACAGACTTGCAGACTAGCTTAAGCACTAAAGGGAATTTGTTGGTGGATCAGGGGTATTTCATGGAGGCCCAAGGACAGGAAGTGTGGAAGGGCCTCTCAGGGGGCAGGATCTAGGTCTTATGTGCTTCTCCACACACCTGCTTTGTTCTCTTCTCTTTGCACGTGGTGGGAAAGATGCCCCAGCTCAAGCACTTCCAATCAATTAGCTAGCTTCCCAAAGCCCAATTCCAGATTCCTTGGAGAGAGAATCTGATTGGCCCAGCTTGGGTCAAGTGTCCACCCTGGTCCAGTCAACTCTGGCTAGAACAAACAAAGCAGCCCAGGGCCCACCTCTGAGGGCAGTTTTCAGAGACTGGGTGTCATGGGATGGGAAGACTCCTCAAAGGTATCTAGAGCATGGACATAGACCTCTCAGGTCCATGTCCCAGGACTTTGCAAACCATCATTCATTTAGGTAAACAGTTATTGAGCACCTTCTGTATGGCAGGCACACAGATCTGCCTTCTAGGGAGTTTTCTAAATCTCTTTGGAATTGTTCATGTCTTTAACCTGCACTATCTTTGGAGTGAAGTCCTAGCTCCTTAAATTAATCACCTCTTAGCTTTCCCTTTTCAAGTTTCAAGGTAGGGGTCAAGGGCTTTGGCAAACGTGTTTCCTCACGTGGGTCTTTGGGAACTATAGAGATGTCCATGTTCTCTCCTCTTGTCTTTGTCTCTCTGGTAGAAGTGTCTTAGTTCTTGAGCTGATTCAAATATGGCCCCCTCTTCCCAATCTCCCTAATTCCTTGACTTTCTTTTTTCAGCCCAGGGATGGGCCTCCACTGGTCCCAAACACAAAAGTATCTCAAGTTCATACTCGGGGAGGAGAATGTTAGGTTTCTAGTCCCTGTAGGAAAAGTACCGAGAATTTGATGGACCTTTCTAGCATCAGCACGGCTGCTGATGACCATAGGTACTGTTCATTGAGGACACACTGTGTGCTCACCACCAAGCTAAGCCCTTCACATGCAACGTCTCATACATACAATCCTCATAATTACCCTGAGAGGTAGGCAGTATTCCCCCGATTTTACAGATAGCTAATCAGGAAGCTCAGAGGCGACTTGCCCAAGGTCACACAGCATCTGGGCAGTGGAGCTAGGCTTCAAAACCAGACCCTCCTCTCTCCAGAGGCTTCCTACATGCCAAAAGCTTCCAAGAACACTCCACATTGTCTGCGAGTTCTGCCCTGTGCATGTCCTCCTGTGAGTATCGTTTAGAATCTTCAGAGATACTGTTCCAAATGTGTTTACTAACTCTTGTCACGTAGAAGTAACTCTTTGGAGATCAAACTCTGATCCCATTTTAGTCTCTGGACAAAACAGGTGGGGCTGGGGTCAGAGTAGGGCCATGGTGTGTGGATGGAGCACTGGACTAGAGCACCCCTGGAAGCCCAGCTCTGCTGCTACCCCACCCTTTGACTCTGGGGAAGGCCCTCCCCTCTGTTGGCCTCAGTTTCCTCTTCTGTGGCTCTGTGAGCCCTTTGCAGCCTAACATTCTATAATTTCCAGCTTAACTCTGCATTTCTTAAGGGTTTCATGAGGTTGGCAGCCTATATACCCACTGAAAGAGGAGTGTGTCTGGGAGGTTTCCATCTGGGCTGAGCCTGGGGCAGGTGCCTTCTGCTTCTCACCATCATTTCTTCTGGCCGTCCGCAGTCTGCCATTTGTTCTGCAACCCCTGGACTTTGGGGTTGCCTGTTGTCGTCCCACCAGTTCTCTCCAGTGGGGCTGAGTGCCCCCTCTGCCCTCTCTCATCTCATCGCCCACCCATGGTATCTGGCCTCTTCATCCTCCTCCTCACATGGCTGCTTATCAAGCCTGGGATTTGTGAACAAGCATTCCCCCATCTGTGTCTTTCAAAAATATCGGGATGTCCACGTTCTCTCCTCTCATCTTTTGCCAAGCATTTTGTACATATTCATCACATCGTTAATTCTCTCAGCAACTCCATGAGTCCACAGTATCATCTCCATTTTGCAGACAGGCACCCAAGGCTCAGAGAAGTTAACAGATTTGTCTGGACTGACATACTAGTTAGTGCCAGAGCTGAGATTCAGACCCAGGTCTGGCATACCCGACTATGCCACATGCCTTGGCATAGCTACTCGGCCTGCATTGGAGTTGAGGAGAAAAGTCTGTGGTCCTCCTGGAGGGGTGTGACTGGTCTACGGTTTCCATGCAGTCTGGTGTAAGAGGGTGGTCTGTTTATGTGTGGTGGGATTACAGCAGGCCGCCAGGGAGGAAACTCTGTGTGTGTGTGTTTGAGGGTGGATTGTGGAGTCAGGCACCCCTCCCAGCTGAGCACCCCTGAACCTCTGTCCCCGTTTGCTTCCAGGTCCTGGAAGGAGACCAGGCCCTCCTGCAGAGAGTGAAGAAGGCGGTGCGGGCGATCCACAGCTCCGGCCTTGGTGAGCGAGCCTGCCTGATGCCCAGCCTGGCCAGCCAGCCTTCCCCAGCCCCAGCCTGGAGCTGACACTGCCCTTCCCTCCCTCCACAGGCCACGTGGAGAACGAGGAGCAGTACCGAGAGGCTGTGGAGTCATTAGGCAACAGCCACCTGTCCCAAAACAGTCACGAGCTGTCCACCGGCTTCCTGAACCTGGCCGTGTTCACCCGCGAGGTGGCCGCGCTCTTCAAGAACCTGGTGAGGCCCCTGATCCCTTCTTACCCAGCCCTTAGCCCGGGCTCAGGGTAAATCTAGTGGGTTTCAGAACCTGACTGGGAAAGGGTTGGTTTCCACCCTTCTCCCAGGTTGCCCTTAACCTCTAGTCTCCCTTGACCTCTGACCCATGACCTGAGGTCCCTCTCCAGTTCGGATCCACCGTTTGCATTCTTCTTCCCCTCTGCCTTCTCGCCCACGTCTTCCCTCTCCCTCCTCTCTGTCCTCCTCTTTCTCTTCTGTGGTGAGTCCCCGGGAGCAGAGGGGGTCTCACAAGGGGGCAGAGCCACACGCGAGGGAGGGCTCCCTGAGGGAGGTTTTGGGAGAAGGGAGGGCAGACTCTGGGCTTCCTGTCTTTGCGCCACTGCCTCTCCTGCACGCTCTGTGTCCTCTGCTTTCCCGACCACATCTGCTTTGTCTTCAAAACCTAGAAGCTGCCTCGCCTCAGCAAGCCCCTCAGCTCCTGCACGTGGCCCCGTGGCCTCACCTTCCTTCCTGAGATTGCCTCCTCCCCTGTCCTCCGAGTCCCCGCCTCGAGGCCACCCCGAGACACCAGCTCCTCCGGTGTGCAGACACGGTTCTCAGTACTGCGCTGGTGTTAAGTCATTTCATCCTGGAGCACAGCTCTGTGGGGTTGGCTTACCACTGCCCTCGCTTTACAGATTAGGAAACCGGGACACCAGGTTAAGCAGCTTGCCCCAGGTCTCACAGCTGGATTTGAACAGGGGGTCTGGCTCCAGTGTTCGAGCACACGCCTGGCTGTACCGCCTCCCAGGAGAGCCCCTCTCTCTCCAGGCCCCGTAGCTTTTGGACCGGCTCTTGTGGCTCGAGTCCCACACAGTGCCCTCCCTGGCTGGCAGGGACCGAGTCATCTCTGAGAGGCACTTTGCTTAGTGGTTAAGCACCCAGATGTCAGGCTTAGACTGGGGCCTCGAATTCCCACTCTGCTGCTCACTAGGTATGTGACCCTGGGCAAATCACTCAATCTGCCTGAGCCCCGTCTGTAAAATTGGGACGCTGATGGTACCCACTTCACAGAGTTGTAATGAGGATTACGCAAGTTAAGTGCCTACTCCAGAGTAAGTGCTCAGTACATGTTAGCAAATATTGCCATCTGTCATTACTACGTCTCTTTGCCTAGCACTGCCTCACACTGTCCTGCATGCAGAGGCCTTATCAGTGCTTGAGTTCAGCTGAGTTAGTGACTTCTTTTGTCTCTACCTCTCCTTGCCCTGTTTTGGTCAAACTAGTGTTTGCTGTGGTGGCCACTGTACCAGGAGCTGGTGACACAGGAAAGAGTCAGACTCTGCCTGAGGGAGCCACGGTCTAGTGGGGGAGACAGGAACTGAGATGTGGGACAACACCAAGCAGTACAGCAGTGTGGCACAAACTCAGGGACCCAGGGGTCGGGTCAGTGGCTTGGCCTGCCGTGGTTCAGAAAAGGGGAGGTCAGCACAGGCCGTGGGCAGGGGTGGTCAGGAAGGCTTCCTGGAGGAGGGGAGACCTGAGCTGTGCCTTGAAAGGTGGGCTGAAATATTAGGCTGTTTTGGGTTGCCAAATGACAGAAACTCAACTCAAACTAGGTTCATTTTTAACAAGGGAGTTCATTGGCCCCTGTAATGGGAAGTCCAGGTGTGCAGCTGCCTTTAGGCACCTTCTCTTTCTCTTAGATAGTTTCTCTCTGTCTCTGCTCAGTGGGCAGGATGGCCCAGCAGGCCCAGATTCCCATCTTACCAGAAGAAAGACACAGTCTTTCTCCCATGACTTTGGCAGAAAAGTCCCAGGAAGGATCCTGATTGGCTGGCTTGGGTGGCGTGCCTGTTCCTGATCTAGTCCCTGTAGCTTGAGGATGGAGTACTCTGGTCAGCTCTGACTCCGGTGTGACCCCATGTGACCACAGGGAAAGGGTTCCCCACATTATAAGGGGAGACGAGGAACTAGCCAGACAAAAACAACAGGTGGGCACCACGGGTGGACTTCAGAGAGTCAGAGAGCAGAGGAGAGGGTGCTCCTGGCAAAGGGACAGGGATGGGACTGACCGTGGATGCTCCTGGAGCAGTGGGGTGGTGAGGAGCTTTAGTTGGGGAGGGACTAATAGCTTTTATGGGAGGCCGACTCCACCGCCCCCTTCTACCCTCCCAGCTTCGCATGTCTCCCCCCTGCCCTCATTGCCCCGGTGCTGTCCTCCCCCTGCACCCCGGTGCTGTCCTCCCCCCACCTCTTTACCCCGGTGCTGTCCTCCCCCCATCTCTTTACCCCGGTGATGTCCTCCCCTGCCTCTGTACCCCAGTGCTGTCCTCCCCCCTGCCCCCTGTACCCTGGTGCTGTCCTCCCCCCACCTCTTTACCCTGGTGCTGTCCTCCCCCTGCCTCATTACCCCGGTGCTGTCCTCCCCCTGCCCTCTTTACCCTGGTGCTGTCCTCCTCCTGCCTCATTACCCTGGTGCTGTCCTCCCCGTGCCCTCTGTACCCCGTTGCTGTCCTCCCCCTGCCCTCTGTACCCCGGTGCTGTCCTCCCCCCTGCCCTCAGTACCCAGGTGCTGTCCTCCCCACTGCCCCCTGTACCCTGGTGCTGTCCTCCCCTTGCCTCATTACCCCGGTGCTGTCCTCCCCCTGCCCTCTGTACCCCAGTGCTATCCTCCCCCCACCCTCATTACCCGGGTGCTGTCCTCCCCCTGCCCTCTGTACCCCGGTGCTGTCCTCCCCCCACCCTCATTACCCGGGTGCTGTC